TCGTTCTGGGGGCATTGAGAATATGAAGGACGCCGAACAGAGAGAGGCTGCCTCTCGATCTCCACACGCTCGTAGGTGTTGCAACCTCGTGCAGAAGGCAGCGACGGCGAGGGCGAGAGCGAGAGCGAGGGCGGGGCGAGAGAGTTGCGAGCTGCGGTTGTGGCTACGAGTCGCCAGCACGAGTGCGAGACCGAGAGCCAGCCGGAAATGGGAAACCCGAACAAGAGGGATTGATAAAAGAACTGGAGATGGGTCATGAAAGCTGCGAGCAGTTGGAAGAAAGAGAGACACAGACAGAAGGAGGTGCTAAATACAGAAAGAAACAGAGAAGCAGACGCTGGGAGCCCATGCGCGGACCCCCCAAGCCCCGAGGCCTTCGGACTCCTCCGCATCGACCATGACCGGATCCTGCATCCAAGGCAAGTCTTCGAACCCAAGCCGCAAGAGTATCGAGGTGGCCATCTATGGAAGCTCTGCTCTCTCTCTCTGTGGCGACTGCGTTCTTCTACAGATCCGGAAGCTTCACCCACAGCAAAAGCACTAGCAAGAGAGAGAGAGCGAGGGAGACGGGGAGAGAGAGGCGGAGCCTTCATGAGCTCCGAGCTGAGCTTGCACCTGAAGGAGGATGGGATCTCCATGGCGGCTGAAGCTAAGTGGCGAGGGTGAAACTTCGGTTCCCGTCACCGTCGCCCGGTGTTTGAAGCCCTCTTGATATGACGAAGACTCTTTTATTCTGCACCTCCTCCTGGGAGGGTGTCGACTGATCTCGTAAGAAGCTTCGAAGCGAAGCTGTAAAATTTCGAGCCCGATGACCCATGATGATCCACTGCTCACAACTTGTAGCTGCTGCGCATGGGGCAAATCGGGAACCGTTTTCTTGGAGCCAGACGCAACGGAGAGATCGCACTCAAACTCAGCGGTGTGGTTGGAGAAGAGGTGTGCGCATTCAGCTTCATGGCTTGCTTCGGAAGAACGGGCCCAGCACCCCGCCCTCTTTGAAGGCTTGTTTTCTCCGAATCGCTAGTCCTCGCTTCACCTATGCCCCCGTGCTGCCCCCGAAAGAAGCCGGCCCGGCCTTGTACCCGCGCCCAGCACGGAACTTCGAGGCCTCAGGGAGAACGAGCCTCTTCGGGCTTCTGCGGGAATTCGTCGGAGTTGGCTTCAAGGAATCCTTTTATAGGAACCCCACAACATAACCCATAGACCTCGAAAAAGAACCCGAAAAGGATTCCTCCAAGGGAGTGAGGGGACTGGGTGGTGCGGCTCTGACGGCGACTCTGGCTGCGGGGGGTCCTTGCGGCTGATTGTGATCGTGCTATTGCGCGGGTAGGGCCGGTGTGCTGGAGATTGCGGCGAAGCTTCTGAAAACGACTGGCGATCGTGACGTCGGACGTCGGTTCAGTCGCCTGGCCATCGACTCCGCACCTACTCTGGGTGTTGCAACCCTTTCGTAAACCCCTGATAAAGTCTGTGAGGTGCCGTCTGCTGCCGAATGTTTGCACTCGAGGTTGTGCGACGCTGGTGCTCTCGAGGTGTTTTTTACGGATAAAGATAGGGGAGCTGTTTGCACTGTGCACGCCAGGTTTGTGAAAACCGATCAAAACGGCTGATCGAGCCTCAAGTCTAGCTTGTTTGCGTGCCGATTTAATATGGTTGCCCTCGTGCCGATCATGAAAATTACGACGAGAGTGCGGCTGAACTCCAATATCGTCATGCCTGTACCGTTGGAGGCCCAGGGAGCCTTCGAAAGAAGCCGCGATGCGACTTGACGCGATCAGCTACCCCCCCCCCCCCACCCCCCAGACCATTGCCCCAAACAACTCCGATGAGATCATCCAACAGAACCCTAAGCTCTAAACTCCAGGTTTACGCAAGCCTTAAAGCCAAAAAAACAAAATCCGTAAAACAAAAGTTAGCTACCCTTTCCATGAGCCAGCAGCTCCCGAGCCTCAAACTCCCACGGAAACCTCGGAGGACTCCCCAAACGTAGGGTTCAGATGGGTGCGTGGTGTTCGTGAAACTTAGAGGGTGTTTAGGCTAAGGGTTTAGGGGCTTTCTTCGGTCCCCAAACTCTCCTCGGAGCCTTCAAAGCCAACTGCGCTTCAACTCCGAGCCGCCCCACAGGCGAAGAGAGAAGCCAAGCGTTCCCTCCCGCCCTGCCCTGGCGAAGTCGGTGGATCTGCTGAGGGGGACTCCAGGGCTCCAGGGTTCCTTAGGGCTTTGGGGTTTCTGGTGTCTCGGATTCGGGGCTTAGGGTTTTTTGGGGGGTTTTGGGGATCATTGGAGTTTGGGGCTGCGTTTAAGGCTCCGGGGTACAGGGGTTTGGGCTTGGGGCTTCTGGAGTTGAGGGCTTAGTGTTCAGGGTGTACGGGGCACTGGGGATCCTAATGCTGAGGTCCTGAAAGAAGGGGCTTTGTAATTGATCATCATGACCCCCCTTACACCTTTAGACCCTAAACCCTAAAACCCCTGAGCCAACCCAAAAAACCCTAAAAACCCTATAGGGCCTGTTCTGTTCTGCTGCTTTGCTTTTCTGGGAGGAGGGGCTCTGGGAGTCTCTGGCCCGAGGATGCCGGGGCTTGGGGCCTTTTTGGGGTTCAGGCTGCTTTTAGAGTTTACCTTAACCCTGAATAACCTACCTTCTTAAGGACTTATATAAGGAAATCATAAGAAGGAACCCTAAAAAGATATGTCATTCAGGGTTAAGGTAGGGTTTGGGGTTCGGGGTTTCGGCTGTAGGGTTTTTTGGGGGCTTAGGGCGTAGGGGAGGATTCAAGCTCTTGTCCTTTGGAACGTCTAACATTCAGGTTGCACGGCTAGAATCTTTAAAAGGCTGTAAGTTTAAACTGCAGGACTTCGGTCATGTTTAGGACATGGGGTCTGTGGTGGTGTAGAAGTTTGGGTGCTTCGCTCTACATCTGTTAATTTTGCTGGGCCCACGAAGAAAAACTGGGTCAGAAACAAGCCCTTTTTGAGAACGTCTCGGGTGAGGGCAGAACTGGAAGGGTGGTTGGCGCTTCGTGTAAAGGCTGCAGGCACGAGAGGTAGAGGTTCCTTGACACCGCTGAATTCGTGAATATGCGCGAGCTCATGTCGGGCTTGCTTCTCTGCGCTTGAATACCTTTTCAACCGTAAACCCGCACAACTTAGAATCCGCCAACACCACAAAACCCCTAGCAACGCCCGGCCGCAAGCCCAAATTTTTGCGGATTCCTCAGACACCAACTCCCCGAAGCGAAGCGCTTCCCTTTGAAGATGAGGCCGATGCACCCGCCTGCGGTCCGAGACTTGCCATGCCTTTCCAATGACCTGCCAAATTCACTTTTGGAGCTCCGGTTGAAGGTTTCGGGTTCTAGCACTGAGGCTTCAGGAATGGCTTTGCAACTCCCGCGTAAGGAACCCTAAACTCTACAACCCTAAACCCTATATAAACCCTAAAACTCGAAAACCCTAAACCCTAAACTCCTAAACCGTTTTAGCTTTGGATTCGAGCTTCAGGCCTCGGATCCCAAAGGTTCGAACCCTGAACCCCCGAGCCCTAAACATCTTAACCCCTGCACCCCAAAGCCCTTCTGGCCCTAAGACAGCCTGACAAGCGCGGCTAAGCCAAACCCAAACGTCCTGAACGCTGCAGCCCTGGACTAAAGGTTCTAAGTTCTAGGGCTCTTATACTGTGTACCAGCGAGGCCCTGGCCTGGTAGTAAACCCTACAATGCCCTAAACTCCTCGGCTTGGCTTTTGTTGAATGCCGGCATTCTCCAAAGCTGCTGTTTGGAATTCCTGTTAGTTGGGCAGGCGGTGTTCGCCCAGCACGCGCTTACTCTGAACCCTGACGGTTTAGTCTGGGCCAGGGGTTTCGTGCCCAGGCTGTCGATTACAAGTATTCGTTCGCTCCTGACAATTTGAGGTTCCATGGCCATAGACATAGAGCTCCACATCGAGAATGGAAGACGAAAAAGCCTCCTGAGCCCTTCCCTTCCGACTTGAATCTAGATCCTGAGCTGCCTTTCCGAACCCCAAAATGGCAGAGTCTTACGTCTTGCCTGCATGGCCCAACATGAGTCAGCCTGTGACAGTGGGAAGTCTTTCCGGGCCCAGCATGGTTTTGAGATCAGACGAGGCGCTTCTGCCAAGGCGTCTTGCAGGGGTTTCGGGATTTAGCACGGCGAGTCATTAGACTAGTTCCGGGGCTAAGGGTGCTTCAGGTCCAGGGCTTGGAAGGACACCCCGCAGCATGCATCTCTTGGCAAGTACATGGCCTCATCCATCCTGTGCCATGCCGTGATGTCGTCACCTGACCAGGAAGCTAGAAAATGTGCCCCCAAAGATAACTTGCAAAGATATATCGGCCCCAAAAACACGGGCAAAGGGGTTCGGAGAGCCGCCGGAAAGGCCTATCATGTTGACTTGACGATCTGTGCGTTCTAGTATCGTCTCACTGTCATCCTTTAGGGTGCTCCCACTATCACCATCACGACCGTTTTCGCCACCTGTATAGATTTACCACGACCTTACTCTCGTTGCCGGTGAAGTGCAGGTGCGCTTTCTTCGAACATCTTCGAACTCATCACGCGAGTCATACTGCCAACGATGGCGATGGCTGCTGACTCACCACGGCGCTAGTCTGTGCTATAGGTCCTATAGGTTGCAGGCATTGAGCTGTAAAACGACCTTCCTTGACAGCGTCGGGCTCAAGGCACCAAACCTCAAGACAAGACAAACACCATGATTCACCTACTGTATCTTTTGCAATTCGAAGCTCCCCTTCCGGTATCCTCGGACGACAGAGCACGCCCTCTGCACCCTCACCTCTTCGAGGACGACAGGTGCAAATCGAGCGGGGGCCAATGGCACGAGAAAGCAACGTTACACACTGGTTGAGCCGCCGCAGGTGCTGCGCAGGTGCTGTGCGGCCAGATTCCAGGCCCGTTTCCGGAGGGACCGACACATGCAAGCGATGGAAAGAATTAGTCACAATCTGTCATGACCTCTTCGAGGCGCTAAGGGCAAGCGGGAACCCAGTTCAGGCCCGCCAAAGCCCTTCTCATCCGCATCTCCACACTTGGGAGCACCTCCACGGACTTCCGAGTTTCGGAGGCCTCACCACCCAGCACGTAGAGGGTGTCGTCCCAGACCGCGGCGGCGGAGTGACATCTCGGATGCTTCAGCGCGGGGCCTTCGGCCCAGGAGCCGGCGCTTGCGTCGAAGAACTCCGTGGAGCGCTGGGCGGCGGAAATGTTGCTGCCGAAAACGTACAGGCGCCCCGCAACCGTTGCCGCCGCGTGGCAGGCCCTGCGTCGGCTCAGGAGGCTCGGGCCTGTGCCCCAGCTGCCGCCGTTCGCCGGATCGAAGACTTCGACGCTGGAGAGCTCTTTGCCAGCGTAGCCGCCCACCGCGAAGATCTTCCCTGAAACCACCGCGGCCGCCAGGGCTGATCGCCGCTCGCGCATGGGCGGCAGCTCCTCCCAGCGCTCACTGCCGGGGTCGAAGCGCTGCACGTGGGCGAGTAACTGTGAGCCGTCGTAGCCTCCCAGCAGCACGAGCCTGCCCTGGAGCTCCACCGCTGCGTGCTCACACCTGCGCTGCCCGGAGTCCGTGCCCAAGCTCCAACCCCCAGCGCTCTGAGGGCTCCAGCACTCCATGGAGCTGAGGCGGCTGTTGTCGCTGCGGTCCGACCCTCCCGTCACGTAGATTCGGCTGCCGATCACCGCGGCCGCAGCGCAGACTCTCTGGCAACTAAGCTCGGGCCCTTGGCTCCAAACATTGCGCGAGATGTCGAAGATCTGCACAGTGCGCTGGGTGTGCTCACCCCCGATGACATAGATCCTTCCATCCAGCGCGGCAGCGGTTGCACTGTATGTCGGATGCTGCAGGGGAGGGCAGACTGCCTCGGATTCGAGCCCTGCTGGCTCCAATTTATTATCTAGCCACTGCAAAAGAAATAAACGCTAGAACGCAGCAGTGAATGCAGTCAAAAACTTGCGCGATGTATGCACTCCATGCCACCGTCTCGAACTCCACCGGTGCCATCGCCACCAGCTTTGCAGCCTCTTCCTGCCGCCGCTGCTGCAGAAGAACATCCTTCAGAACGGAGGCAACAAAGTTGCATGCCGGCGATGTGAAGCTTTGATCTTCTGCGCTGTCGCCCCAGATCACTTCGCAGGCCACGGGAACGGTCTCTCCCTGCAGCCAGTGTTGCAAAACCTTGGTCCTTGGCTCTAGGGGCTTGTCTGAAGAATCCAGGGATTCCGCGAGCGACGTCCTGGTCTTCACCAGCTTCTCCAGCGCTTCCGCGCACTTCTCCATGTGTTCGAAGACCTGTCGACGCCGGTCCAAGCAGTCCTCCGGCACGGACTTCGTTGCTTCCAAGGCGGGAGAGATCACCTCCTGGGGTGGGCGAAGCGAGAAGCTCCCGTCAAGTCTAGAGACTCTTCCGGCCCTGTAAAACGCAAGAAACGACGAGTCGGACGAGCCCTGGGGCGAGCTGCCAGTGCATCCAAGCATCGTTCTCGAACTGCTTCTCGGAGCCGAAGCCTTGGAAAGCGCCAGCGACAGCACCAAGGCACCTCGTGGCGAGCGTCTCGAAATCGAAGGAGACCTTCACCATGCCCTTCTGGTCCACTTGCATCGTCAGGTGCCTGTGCTCCACGAAAACGGATTTCAGGACTTCGGCCACGCCCTGTCTGGCCATCTTCATGTCGAGACGCGGCTGCGTCTCCTGAAGCTTCCTCTTCACCTCCTGTGAGAAAGAGACAAAGGGGCGCGGAAAGTGGGTGGGGTCAGAAATTTCCCTTCCGAAACTTCTGGTTTTGGTCAAGAGCTCCTCAATGAGGCGCGGCAGGCGCTCCAGCCGAAAGGAGTCCTCTTTGCGTGGCGCCAGAGCCGTCAGGGCCTCCTCCAAGAGACCCGGGGCGAAGGGCTCCAGCGGCAGCTTCGACAGGATCTCCTTGCAGGCCGTCTCCAAGAACATCGGGAGCTCCTGCACTTCACGCTTGAGAGGGGAGGGCTCAGCCTGAAACACGCCTTGAAACAGGTCTGGAAAAGGCTCTATGACTGATGCCACAATGTAGCAACCAGAGTGTGCCCGGCGGTCCAGCAGCTCCACTTCCTGTTCCTCAACGGCTTTCAGCTGCTGCTGCAAGCAGTCCTGCATGGAGTTTCAGATCATTGCATGTAGCTCAAGGCATCCCGAGACCGTGTATGGACTCCATCATCTACCACCGAAGCCTTGGAATGCGCTAAGACCTAAACGAAAGGTCCTTGACGGGCTTTGCGGCCGTGCTCCAAAACAGCTCGCGGGTCCGCTGGAAGACGAAACTAAAGCGGCGCATCAGCTCGTGGCTGGCGGCAGACTTGAACTTCTCCAAGGCGGCTCCTGGGCTTCAAGGAAGTGGCTGCGCCGCGCTCTGACCAGTTGAAGCCGCAGACAATCTACGTAAATCTTCGACTCTTTGACATAGCAGCTTCGGTGAAGCATGCATGCTATCTATTGAGTCTTACGGTCTTACTTGTAGTCATGCCTTCCTGGTGAGCACGTCCCCGCACGGTTGAGTTTAAGGAAGCCCTTCGACCGTTCATGCCGGAGGAATATCTCTTGGCCCTCGCGAACTCGAGCGAAAGGCAACAACCACAAGATTAAGGCACGCTTGACTGACTCACATTCCAAGCTTCCAGACCGGAAGGCATGCCTTTACGAACGCCCGACACGTTTCGACATCTCCACGGATCGCCGGGAGTTCGGGGCTTCTTCAGCGTTCTGTGTAGAGCTGTTCAAGCCAAACACAAGGCTCTCAATCCCAAACAGTTGAGTCAAGTTGAGTGTGCTCCAAGGGAAACACGTTCTGAAGACGTGCTCGGAACTCGTAGCCGCAGCCGACGACTTTCAGACGAGTTCACGGCCCTGCGTCCGGCCGCACTTACGGCACGGGGATAACTTTTGAGCTAGCCTTTCGGCTGATTCCTGCCGCACGAGCAACTCCCCAGAATCGCTGCGGTAATTGAGTAGCTAATTACCCCAAGAAGGAAAACCTATTACTCATGACTTACCCCCAATATAAGGAAACATATTATTCATTTACCTCTCTTTAACAAGAACCCAGTCAATCTCAAAGATGTCCGGCCCTGGCTTTCAAAGTGCCGTCAGAGGCTCCTTCCAGCTGCCCGCTGGCGAAAGGAAGTCCCATCTCTACCAGCTCCTCTCGACGTCTTAGGGGCCCATGGCTTGCGATTAGTGGAAATCTTGGGGCCTCCGTCCCTGAAAGACTTCTCTTCAGCAAATCACAGTTTCCACAAATGCTACAAATCGCAGCTTCTACACTACAGATCCATGCGATGGCCGCAACATGGCATTGGACGGGCTCCTCGCAGCAACCAGTCCACCTGCAGCACTGTCTCCGGACAACTAGTCGAGAGAGAGAGAGAGAGAGAGAGCTAGAGCTAGAGCGAGAGTGAGTAGAAGAGAGACAACAAAAGGAGAAATCACCCTTCGCATGTCCAAAGACATGTCATTCTGCAAACGAGGCACACTGCGAGCAAGCGCTTGGCCGTTAGAGGCAGCCAATTGTGCGCGACATGCCACCCGTATGCCCGGCTGATATTGTACACGACAGCACCGATGGAGGCTTGTTGATTCTCTACAAAGGTTTTCATCTCCCAGTCGATGGCAAACTTGTTCTGCTCCATCTGCACCTTGCGAGCCATCCATTCCGTGAAGCTCTCGCCGGCATCTCTCTTGTTGGTCACGTTCGCCACCGCGACGAAGCCTCGGTTCTGCTTCTTCTGAGAGGCGACTCTGTCTCTAAAGCGAAGCAGACCATCAGACTGCGTGATTACATTGTCACCCCGTCCTTCAAAACCTCCAGCCAGTCGTGCGAATCTGTGCCAGTGCCAATAGCAGCCGGGGAGCCGTGACGCGACAACGGCACGAGACCCTTCACTTGTTCTCCCCGCAGAACTGGAAATAGATCTTCGTGCTCATCCTCGCCGAGCCTTGATCGTGAGTGCGCTTCTCTCCTACTTAGCAGAAACAAAACACACCGCATTCGCACCCGTTCCTGCCTGTCGAACTTGGTGATGACCCCGATGGTGCGCTCCTCCAGGTGCTTGTCCTTGATCAACTGCATGACTGCCCAATTCGCAGGCGCGTCCGAAGCTTGAACAACCGCGAGGAAGATGTCTTGGTCTTGCGAATCCTGCGTGTACCTCTCCAGTAGCTGCTTTGTCTGAGCGGCAAGACCAGCGTCAGCCTGGACCAAGCCCGGCAGGTCCACCAAGTTCATGGGCGGCAACGTGGTAGAGCCGGCCTTGATGTGAATCTCTTTGTCAAGGCAGAACTCGCTACCCTGAGCCGTCTCCTCCACGAGCTTGTTCATTTCTGTATGGATTTGAGATTCACTGACTTCCAGCGATATACTCCGCGCAGGACCTTCCCACTTCCGCTCCCTGACGTTCCACACCTGCAGCGTGGCCTCGGGACCCCTGAAATATCTGACTACTGCACGACGGCCTAGCAGATGCATGCACACGCTCCATTTACGCCAGGCGGCCGGGTGCGGCGTTGCTGTTCGTCGGATCTCCAGGCGCACGGGCATTCTCGTGCAGCGGCTGCGGTCCGTGGGGAAGAAGGGCAGAAGGCTCAGGCGCTGCAGCAGCGAGGACTTGCCCACGCTCTCGGCACCGAAGACCACCAGAAACGGCGCCCTCGCGGCTCAAACGCGAGTGGGAGATGCTGGAGTTTATAACCTTCCCAAGTCCTTCCACCCTGCACCTGCTACAAATCCCGATTTATGCGTATAAGCTATGAGCAACGCACAGCTGCACAATCCTCCAGCTGCCCAAGGTGGCCACCAGCACGTCGTTGAGATCATCCAGCGCAGAGAAGAGCACGTTGAGCCTGCACGAAGAGGAGTGTATAGGGCTGTACGGGGTCAGACCCCCAACAGGCCAGCGGCCTGTGGAGGGAGCCTTGGTCGTCCAAATCGGACTCCCCCAGCCGATCCTGGGTCTCTCTTTTGCTAGAGTGGGGATCTCAAGCGAAGTACGTAGAAGAGCAACCAAGAAGCCTCCTGAAAGCTTCATTGGGGGTGGCTGCGGTGCACTTGAGGCTTAGGGGCTGCTCTTCCAACTCACCCTTCGAAGCTCTGAAGAGCGAGGTTCTCTGAGGCCGTCCAGTTCCGTTTCCAGGTGGGCCTCGAACTGGGACTGCATGTCCTTGGCACGAACAGCAGAAACTGAACCAAGTCTGCCTACAGTATCACTCTCGGTGCCCCAAAAAAATCGCCGAAAGGATGGGCCGAGACGCGCGCAAAGAGGGCAGAGGACTCCGACTGTGCAACTCCTTGAGCTCGAGCTTGATGTCTGCAGCAAGCCTTCGCCTGTATTCGTGGATGTCCTCCTCCTCAAAGGAAATGCCGTGCCGGAGAAGCCAGGCCACCTCCCCGCGCTGGGAGACGCCCAGCCCAGCATCCCCGCGCCTTGCCGCGCTACATTCGATCCGCGGAGGCCACGTGAGGCCCTCTCTTCCGACGCCTTTCTGACCTGCTTTGTAGACCACCATCAAGGTGTGCTTTCGCTCCACGGCAAGCTGCACCCGGAGACGCCACTCCTCAAACCAGCGACAGCCGAAGGACTGCTTTTTGTCATAGAGATCCTGGCACCAGCAGCTGCTGGGAGTACCATCCTCGTTTGGCATGTGGCCCCCGTAGAGCTTGCTCCCCTGTGGCAGAAAAACGCAGGCGGTGCTGCCTGAGAGGTAGTGCGCACAGGGCCGGTCTGGATCCTCTGCCTCGAAGGCGATGCGCTTCACCGATCTGCGCACCAGGCAATACCAGTCTTCCTGATATTGTCCTGGAAAGCTGACGACTGTTTTGATCTCCGGGCCCTCCCTGGACGAGACCGAGCCGTGAAACGCGGCCTCCGTCATAGCTGCCTGCTTGGAAAAAGTCCTGCGTCAGTTTGGGATCAGAAAGTTCGAAGGACTCACGGACTCACCAGACTGCAGCGCATGCAACAGCACCCTTTTCAGAGGCTCCCTCTTGGGAGAATCGTGCCTTGGCGTAATATTTGTGGCGCTCATCAAGGCCGGCCACTGCGCCGGAGCTTCTCGCGGGGTCCTCATGTGCTTCCAAGCCGACTCCTTCGCCGGAAAGTTCTCCTCTAGGAACTGCCTCGGCTCCACACGCGCACGATGATGGGCGACACTCACTGAAGCGCACCTGATCTCCTCTTCCAGCTCGGCTTCGAGATGATAGCCTGCAGACACATGCACGCCCCCACTTGCTTTTTAAAGGTGGGTCTCTGTGCAAAGGCTTGGGAGTTGATGGAAAACACAAAATGGAGCGAACTTTGGGAACCTGCCTTGGTCCATGGGCTTCTGCGTCACCGGGGACAGCAATTCGCCGGAAGTCTCGCTGAGTCGGACGTACTCTTCCAGAGCTTTCTTGTCGTAGACGTTCCCATCTCTTGCGCGGACAGGGCGCCTCATCACCTCACCCAGTCTGACAGAAAAGGCGGGTTTAGGGTTTAGGATTCCCGACTCCCAAACCCAGCTGAGACGGGAGGCGCCTGCTTGGAGAGGCCACACACGAACCTTTTCGGGACGTAGTTTCGGGTCTCCAGCGCGAGCTGCGCGTCGCGAACCTGCCTGCAGAGGATGCCAGGAGACGAGACTTCGGACCTACGAGAGGCGGCCCCGAGGCTTTTGATTTTTTTCTTTGCGTAAAGCATCATCGGCATCGTCCGAGCGATTCCGGGAGCTTTTTCTGAGCCCCGCCCGGGCAAATGTTCTTGAGAGGCTGACGGTTCATGTCACAAACGGGGTTGAACGAGGTCTTGCCTTGTTGCATCTCCTTGCGCTCTGCTGGGGACGGTGATGGACAATGACTTCCAATATCTTTCCATGCTTTTGCAAAGAGGGCAGCTTTGTTTGGCCTGGTTTCGCTCTGAAGAGCAGCTTGCTTGCTGGACACTTTCGGGGCCGGGCCTCTCGAGCTCCGCCATCCGCTTCACGTACTCCGCGTTCTGCGCACTCCAGTCGCGGATGTCTTTGCGAAGGTCCGCGTTCTCTCGGAGGTCTTTGCTCCTGAGCCCCGTCGTGAGCGGAGTTATAAGGGAGCAAGGCCTCGAAACCTTCAGGCCTCCCAAAGAAGCTTGTTGGAGGCCTCCGAAACCTTTAGTGGCGAACGGGGTAAAAGCCGGGATCGAGCCTCTTTCTTTTTGCAGCCGAGGTTCCGGAGGCGGATGTTGGTGTAGGGATCCCTCCAATCCGCGTTCATCTCGAGCCACCTGACGCAAGCATCTTGTTAGAAGTGTTAGGAGGTGCTCGCATGGGGAAGCTTCGTTGCGGGGGCATTGGGAAAGCTTCTGAAGGACGCCGAACAGAGAGAGGCTGCCTCTCGATCTCCACACGCTCGTAGGTGTTGCAACCTCGTGCAGAAGGCAGCGACGGCGAGGGCGAGAGCGAGAGCGAGAGAGTTGCGAGAGCTGCGGTTGTGGCTGCGAGTTGCCAGCACCAGTGCGAGACCGAGAGCGAGCCGGAAATGGGAAACCCGAACAACAGGGATTGATAAAAGCACTGGAGATGGGTCATGAAAGCTGGGAGCAATTGGAAGAATCAGAGACACAGACAGAAGGAGGTGCTAAATACAGAAACAGCGACAGAAACAGAGAAGCAGACACTGTGAGCCCATGCGCGGACCCCCCAAGCCCCGAGGCCTTCGGGCTCCTCCGCATCGACCATGACCGGATCCTGCATCCAAGGCAAGTCTTCGAACCCAAGCCGCAAGAGTATCGAGGTGGCCATCTATGGAAGCTCTGCTCTCTCTCCCTCTCTCTCTGGCGACTGCGTTCTTCTACAGATCCGGAAGCTTCACCCGCACCAAAAGCACCAAAGAGGAAGAGAGAGAGAGCGAGGGAGAGGGGGAGAGAGAGGCGGAGCCTTCATGAGCTCCGAGCTAAGCTTGCACTTGAAGGAGGATGGGATCTCCATGGCGGCCGAGGCTGTCGCTAAGTGGCGAGGGTGAAACTCCGGTTCCCGTCAACCGTCGCCCGGTGTTGAAAGCCCTCTTGATCTGACGAAGGCTCTTCTCTTCTGCACCTCCTCCTGGGAGGGTGTCGACTGATCTCGTAAGACGCCTCGAAGCGAAGCTGTAAAATTTCGAGCCCGATGACCCATGATGATCCACTGCTCACAACTTACAGCTGGGGCAAATCGGGAACCGTTTCTCTTGGAGCCAGACGCAACGGAGAGATCGTACTCAAACTCAGCGGTGCGGCTGGAGAAGAGGTGTGCAAGTTCAGATGGCTCGCATCCTGAAAGACCAAATAACCCTTAAAAGTAGAGGCTTTATACCCATATACTATGAAACCCCTATATGGTATATGAACCTTAAACCCTTTTAGGGGTCATTTCGTCCTTAAGGATTAGCCGAATCCTACCTCGCTTCCTCTACGCCCGCGTGCGCCCCCCCAAGAAAGCCGGCCCGGCCTTGTACCCGTGCCGAGCACTGAACTTCGAAGCCTCAGGGAGAACGAGCCTCTTCGGGGTTCTCTTCAGACTTTAGGGCTGCGGGTCTAACAAGGGACGCGCGATCGTGAAAGCCAATTCGACTCGAGTCCTCGCTTGTGTGCGCACCATGATGATGGTAGCCCTCGTGCTTGTCATGATCATTACGACGATGGGTTGGTTGCGATGAACTGCAAGACACTGGTGTTATATACTGTGGTACATGGAGGTTCATGAGGTAGTTATAAGTAGGCTTCTAGAATTAGGGTAACTATATACTTATAGCCCACATTAGGGGACTTATAACCCGACTTATAACTCCCCCTGAACCTCCAAGTGACTCTGGAGACTCCGGCGACTGGGGGCTCCAGGAACTTTCCTTTGCTTAGTAGGGGATGAAAGGGGCCTTATAAAGAGATCTATAAGGGTACTATAACAAAGGGGCCTTTAAAATCCTATAGCTTACCTTTGGTTAGTAGGGAATGGAGGAATGGGGTACAAGTATAACTTCTTTTGCTTCCATTCTTCCATTCCCCAGTAACCAAGGGTAAGGGAAGCTGTCGTAGGTAGCAGAAACCCAGCGCCGGAATGCGGCTCAACACTAGCACCTACTCACCCCAATACCGCCCCAAAACACCCTTTCTTTCTTCATCCGACGGAACCCTAAACCCTACACCCCATGCAGATTCACCCGAAACCCCTGCCACCCTAAACCCTAGAACCTCACCCAACAGTCTCCTGAACTGAACCTCGAGCCGAAAAAGGTAGGGCTTATAGGCGCTCGGAGCTTTTCGGATTATGCGGCTCAAAGGGTTTAGGGCTTGTGACGTTCCGAAACTCTCACTGAGCATCCCTTCAGGCGAACTCCGGAGGCGCCCACAGGACAAGAGAAGCAGGGATTTGAGGGACTTCAGGGCTCCAAAATTTAGGGCCTCTATAGGATTTTGGTGGTTTAAGATTCGGGGTTTGGGTCTAGTATTTAGGGGTCCAGGGGTTGGGGCATGTGAAGCTTCTGTGGCTCGCAGGATTCGGGATTTGGGCTGAGCTCGGCCTTCTCAACTACTCCCTACTCTCCCAAGTAGCCCTGCTGGTGGTGAGTGCCTCGATGGGCCTACCAGAGAACCCCTCAAGAATCCCTAAACCCCAACACACCACACAGCCCCAACACACCAGCCGGGGTCCCTCCACTGGGAAGTCCTTTACAGCCCTGCTAAATTGTAAACCCTAGACCGTAAACCCCTAAACCCTTAACCCCTAAACCCTCAACCCCTACACCCTCAACCCCTAAACCCCTAAACCCTAAACCGTAGCTCCCGGCCACTCCAGGCGCCCCTTGACCGTCTGCCGTCGCCCCTGCAGCAGGCGTGCTTTGAGAGACAAGCACAGTTTTGTGACCCTTCTTAGAACCTCCATCTACCCTCTATTAGACCCTAAATGCCCCTTATTTGGGACCATATACCCCTACTTGAGGGTACAAGGAGGATCCTGGTTAGAACCGTTTTAGAATTTTAGAATTTCTACCCTAAACCCTAAACCCTAAACCCTTACAGAACGGCAGCTCAACGAGCAGCCGAGACAGAAAAGCCTTCTAGGGCCGGAAACCGAAGAAAGTGCGAAACAACATGGAGGCCTTTTAGGGTTTAGGGTTACTAAAAGGGTACTATAAGGGTACTATAAGGGTTCTATGAAGGGTTTAGGGTTTAGGGTTGAGGCCCCAAGCCCCCATCTAGAATCTACAGCTCAGCGGCCTTTTTTGGAACGCCCCGTCAGAGAAAGTTCCCAAGTTGGTGCAGCCTGGAACAGTTTGCAAGGACTGCGCTGAGATATTGCCTCTCAGTACCCAAAACTCATGTGGCGCTACCCTAAACTCTAAACCCTAAACCCTAGGCCCTAAACCCTAAACCCTAGGCCCTAAACCCTAAACCCAAGGCCCTAAACCCTAAACCCTAGACTCTAATCCCTAGGCCCTAAACCCTAAGCCTCCAACTGAAACCCTGGGACTCCAAACCATCCGAGCCCCAGGATCCTGCAAAACTACCTAAGGCCCCAATGCTGTTTTGACGATAGAACTCCTTTAAAGGGAGCTAGAAGGGTACCTTTATATAAGGGGTTGCTTTAAGGGATCTATGGGGTTTTTGGGTTTAGGGTTTAGGTTGATGATCTAAATCCTGCATTACCTTAAGGACCCTAAACTATGGGAATACTGGTATATTCCTTGTTATGGGTAATGCAGGATCTATATCATCAACTGTAGTAACGGCAGGATGCTCTTTCACAAACTGGTAGTTCGGTCGGAAACTCCGTGAATGCCCCAAAAGACCTCAGGAATCAAGAGACAACTGAAGTGAAAGTGCGACCTGATCCAACAGAACCGCTGGCGGAAGCTGCGGAGTGTCACATGAAAGATCCCAAAGAGTCCAAGTACCGCTATACTCGGCTCTTAGTAGTTATACCCCCAAACTATATACTTTGATTCTATGATGTTATAACGACTCTTTCGGGATGCAACTTTTCCCTCCTTTTCCGCTCCATGGGCTAAGTGCCTCCTCGAAGCCGATCGTCTATAACTTCGAATTTGGATCTTTGGTTGAGGGCTCAGGATTTAAGATTCAGGTTTAGGACGATTAGGATTTGCTGTTCAGGGATGGGCTGGCAAGTCGCGGGGTAGAGGCGGCCCAGTATACTTCTTCGAAAGTTGCCCTGAGTTGGATGTCTCGGCTCTTCTGGGAAATGGGGAGATGGACACGTGTGATCATTCCCCATCGCCTGAGAACCGTAAGAATCCAACTGCTTTGTGGGAAGGGCAAAGGATGCATTACTAGTCGCTGGTAACTCTAGTACCAAGGCAACTATGCAACACAAAGATATGACACAACCTTGACTACAAATCCTTCATGTGCTTGAGCTTGCAGCAACATGCAAGTAGGATGCACAGAAACGAACGAATTAGCCGATAGCGGCATGCCTAATTGAGGCAGTGGCATTTGCATGATCTTCATGTGCAGTGAAAACAAGATCTTGCACCTTGGGCAACTCAATGATGCCGATCAGAAGGATCTGACAATACTCTTCATACTCCTCGGGATTCAGTCGACGCTGGTGAGCCTCTGAGCACTCTGCAAGGCGATTGAAACCTATTGGACCACTGCGCTCGGCACGAGCCAGGCCCAAGACGAAGAGGAATTCGACGCTTGTCATTTTCTGCTGAAACTTGGCATTGAGCTCAGAGGGGCTGCTGCAGAATCCCGCCGCAGTCACAGCCACATCTGACAAGCGGCGACGGCGGCCCGCGGGAAAGTCGACGCTGATCTTGTCACTCGAGTCATTCCGATACTTGAAAAACACCTCTCCGGGGCGATGCTGCCGCAAGATCAGCACTGATGGTAAACGCTTCTTCCGGGCCGGGACGTACCAGATGTACTTGCCGGGCTGCACAGATTCGAACTTTCCAAGGCCTCTCCCCCAGGGCCACCGCTCCTCCACATGGTCCACGGCGAGGCCAGTCAGTGCCTCTCTGACCGAGACCTTGCAAGCACGGCCTACGACGAACCCAAGCCCAGCCCAATGCCGTACATCTTTTGCCTTAACCCATTTCAGCACCTATGCAACTATGCCTATCTTGACGTGAGGAGCTACAGCAACGCTGTCTAGCGGCATTCTTGTGCAGACTGCACCGCTTTCTGAGCACGAGGGAGGTGCACAACAAGTCTTCGTTTTGATGTGGATAATTCCCATGGGCGGCCTGAAGATAATCGACCGTGTCCTCCTCGAAAAAGAGGATTTCCACCACATGCCCCACTTCTGGCAGGGCCTGTGGCATCCTCTTCCAGAAGTGCCCCTTCTCGTCGCCAAGTAATCGGAACCTGTCCTCCGGAATGGGTCGCACGATGCACCCGGCCTTGTATTTCTCAGATTCAGAAACTGTGGCCAGCAAGATGAAACAAAACAAGGGAGAGCGAGAATGATCCGTCCGTGCCAGGACGTTCGCGATGATTTTCTTGGGCCGCCCTGATCTCAGGCGTTCCGGTCGGTTGCAGGGGATGTCTGCAGGGACAATGGAGGACGTGGGCTCTGCACCAAGAGCCGAGAGGGAAAGCACCGCTCGCTCTAAGTCGTTGCCCGCTTGAAGCAAGTGGTCGCCAATGATGTCGTCGTCATACATTGGAAAGTTGTGGCGTAGCTTGCACACAAGTTCAGAGATGTCTTCAACACCTGAGCCACACCACCAGCGTTCAAGCAAACTGTCCGACCTACAACGGCTTGTGCCGATCCCGTCTTCCAAAGCCAGATCTTCTTCCCTTGGAGGCTCAGGAAAGCTCGATGGGCATCCGAAGAGATGAGACTGCCGCTGTGGAGTCTTTCCTCTTTTCGATCTTGCCTTTTGCAGCCTTTCCTCTTCAGCGATCAACTCCTCAGCAGCAGTTCTGCTCAGTTCTTCTTCTCTTGCCCTCTGCCTCTGCAAATGCAGGGTCCTTGATAGCGCGTCCCTGCACACTAGTGCAAACTGCAGGTCCAAGCCGCGCAAGGCCCATGTGTTCTCCATCTGCTTGGCAAGCCACCCACCATCGGTCGGCATGTCTTGCAATATCTGACACACACCCAAGAGCTTAGTCACGTCAATGTGTGTGGGTTTCGATGCTTGGCGGTGCTCCATCGTTTTTAGCACCTCTGCAGCCCTCGGCAGGGTGGAGAGCAGGTTTTGAGACCTCGACTCCACCTCAACCTCTCTAGTGCAATGCTTGGCAGCGACCCGGCGGAGCGTCTTCAGTGTTTTATCGAACTCGTACCACTCCTGGAAAGAATCCTTGATTCCGACATGGGCCGCGCTGTGTGCAAAGAGCAAACCATCCCCAAAGATCTTCACATCTGCCCATGCATCCCACGGAGCAAGAGTCCAGCTTTTGGAGGGTGCGTGGTAATACAAGAATGTGCACCTTGAGTCGGACCAGTATGTTGGACGGTCATAGCACTTGAACATACTGGGTTGCTCCGTGTACTCACCATTCAGGCACGCCATGCCAAAGCCATGCAGCTTTACAACTCCGAGGCAATGCCCATGCCTGTGCAGATCCTGTTTGCCGAGGACGACATACTTGTGGGCGCGAGGCCTCAAAGAGAGCAACAGCAGGGAGATCTTCGGCGCGCACGGCAAGCGCTGGGAGGGTTTATTGCCAACGTACACCATCTCTTGAGGAGTTGTTGGTTGAGCTGACAGGCTGCTCAGGCGAGAAGCAAGCTGTTCGTACACAATGCTGTCAACCCAGTTTCGCCTCATTATGGGCACCTGCTCCACGCTTTCCATCCAACAAGAGATCCACTCAGCAGCAATGAAGCGGCTGGAGCGACTGGACCCTCGCAGAACCATGAGGTCAGCCAAGCCTGCCAGGGACGGCCAGCGAGCAAGTTGAGTCGAGTCCGCCACGGATGGAATGCCCAAACGGTGAACAGAAGACTCCATCAGAGTCTCGGGATGCAGTCCGTCTTCATACATGACTTGGATACCTTGCTGCTGGCTCATCCAAAGCACGGTGGCCCGGATGTCCACTTCGCCCAGGATTTTGAGACGCTCGCCCGCGGAGAAGTCATCTCCAACCAGGGTTCCGACTTCAGCGACATCCTCTGCTGAGATTTCGACCTGTCACAGTAAGGCCAGGAATCTGGCTCGGGCAAGAACGAATTGGCAGGCAACACCAACTGCCACCCTCAACCCGAAACGCGGACCCCCTTAAACCCCCAAACCCCTAAACCCGAGACCCTAAACCCAAAACCCCAAACCCCCAAACCCTAAACCCTAAACCCCTAAACCCCCAAACCCTGTCCAACCTCATTGCCGCCGGAAAAGGAAAGGCGAGCTTTCCCTCCCACTTGACCCCCAAGATATCCGACCAGGCCAGGTACCAAGAAACCTGTTGGCGCGTCGGAGGTTTGGGTGTTCTGGGTTCGGAGCTTTAGGGTAATAAGTCCTTGAGGGTTTAAAGGGACACTTCTTAACCAAAGTCCTACGGATTGAGGGTTTCAGCAGCTTCAAACATCTAAGGAAGTACCTCCTCTCAAGGTTTGGAAGGGTTTTTGGGGGGCTTTGAAATTTTAAAAAAATTCCGAGGACCGCCGTCAGCACTTGGGCCTGGGAGTTGAAGGAATTGGGACCTCCAGAGCTTCGGGTTCGTATGGTAGGCCTGTAGCCGGAAAGACCTACCTTTTTAGGGTTCCTTACTATTGTTTCTATATATAGTTCCTTAAAAAGGCAGGTCTTTTCGGCTACAGGGGGTTCTAGAATTCCTTTAAAGAGTCCCCATAAGGGATCCTATAAGGGTACTATTTAAGGATATAGGGGCCTTAACAGTTAGGATAGGGCTTTGGGGCCCATTATACTATAATTACACTAAAAGCACCCAAAATAGTACAGGTAATAATTTAAGCCCCTATATTATAATATAATAGGGTTCTTTCGTGTCCGGTTTAGGGTTTAGCTCTTTGGGTTTCGGGATTAGGATTCATAGGAAAATAGGCCTTAGTTCGTTGAGGATTGGGTCTAAGGTTCAGTTTTTGGATTTAGGGTGAACAAGTTGGAGTTGGTATAGGGCTTTTGCTACTGTCAGTCTTTCTTCACTCTTCGAGGGGCTGAGCCGACGTTTTCACCCAACAGCCGTGAATGACGCCTGAAACTGCAGGTAGCAGCATCTGTGAACTCAGAACCCTAGCCCTAGATCTTCAGGCCTCACGCCTTAACAGCTAGCGGACTGTGAAAGACGGGAACAAGTTATCTGGTCTGGCGAAGTCCGAACCCTGAATCAACCGAAGCCCGTCCAAGCCTCCGCTGCCCAAGCAGCGACAGCGGCCACGGTACACGACCCTAGAGCTCGTCTCTTGCATCCTGCGGGCGGCAACAAGAAAGCCAAACGACGGATTGTTGAACCCGATCAACACAAGATACCGACTACCGCCGCTCTTCCTGGCTGGTGGTGCCAAGTATAGCTATCGGTGACGATGACCGCACAGATAAGAAACCAATCCATCATGACCACGCAACTAAGACAGCAAAGCGTGGCACTGCTACATCACCCGTTCCTGTGCTGCGTGTACTAATGAAACCTTTTGGTGGTTCTTCTATCACAGCCCCAACCCGACAAAAACCACAATAGCTTCTTCTGCCGACTCCTGCAACGTATGCGCCCGGAAGAAGCCATGAAACATCTTCCAGGATTGCTAGAGGAGCGAGCACCGCAAGTGATGGAATGCCATGGAACTTCTGTTTGTGTCGTAAGGTGGATGCTTTTGGGTGATGGCTCAGGATCGCTGGTTTACGGAGAACAATCAGCTCAGCTTCTGCTTCTGAGCACGAAATGAAAGGTTGGCCACGATCTGTTTGCCTGCTTTCAGAGCTTCAACGGCAACGGGATGTGCGCCATGCAAGGCCTCCACGCTGGACAGATTAGAGCTGCAACGCTACAAAAACTGCAGACGAGACCAAAACCGCAGTGCCCACAACAGGGCAACTTCCACGGAGGACAAAACCCTAAACCCTAAACCCTAAACCGACCAGCCTTCAGCGTGGGATCGCGACTGTCGCAAGCCTCGGCTCTTGGCCGAGCTTCGGTCCGATCGGGTGTTGAAAGTGATGTAGGAACCTGCTTAAGAACCTTGGGCCTCATAGTTCCTCAGGGTTCCTTTAAGGGTTCCTTCAAAGGGTCCTATAAGGCTACTATCAGGGTATTAGATTCGAGAAGAAAGGGGTAGGACAGTGTAGGATGTAGGGTTGATATGGAGCTACGAGTTGGGAAGACTGCAAAATGCGCCATCAGAAACCTGAGGGGCGGCATCTTCTTGGTTTGTTTTTTTGTGGGCTCGTTCTTTTCGGGTCTAGGGCTTAGAGCTGCTAGGCGTAACCATATGTCCCCTATAGTCGTATTTCTCCCCGTCGCTGCTGCCTGCGAAAGTTGCTGAATCAGTAACGAGGAGCAGAGCAGCAAATACTGCAGAGGCCTAAATGGTTGGAATAGAGCTTTGAGGCGTAGCTTAAAGCATAATATAGCATAATTCAAGGCGTGTAGAAGGGGATAATGCCAACTCTTCGGGCTTCCAGATGGCGCATGCTCAATCTAAGATGCCTGCGATCAGTGGCCCATCTGTCCTACCTGGCAACAGCCAAAGGTTTAGGGTTGAGGCAGAGAGTTGCAGAAGCAGCTGAAACAAGACAATGTCATACACCAGATGGGGCGGCAGCTTTTCCTATTCAACTCGCCGAAAACTAGACGTACAACGGCAAGCTTCAAAGGTTGCAGTGGCATGGGGGCTTTTGTCGGGAGATCTCTCAGCACGCAACCTGTGCGGCTGCCTAGATGCCGGCGTGCACAATATCGTGCAGGCATCCTCTGGACCATGTGGGCCAAAGCAGCTTCCCCGCTTAGTTTAGCACCCACACTGGATTCTGCATCCGGGCCAAGTGTGCTGACTCAGAACTTGGGTTGATGGGTTGCGCCGACAGTTGCTCGAAGTCGTAGAAGCAGGGATGGGTGCACACGAGCAGCCGCCAGTACAGCGGGAATCTGCCGCGTGGCACACGCCCAGAAATTGCTAGGTAGCACATGTCACGAGGAGTCTGCACATCTTCAAGGTCAGCATCCCCTGTCATTGAATAGAACAAGTCGCTTACGTGGTTCTGGAAAGGAACTTTCCCGCTCAGGTCTATCTGCGCCGTAATGAGGTGGTTCTGGTTTCCGGAATCCAGAAAGCTTAGAGCCCTGGGCAGTAGCGCTGCAGCCTCATCATACAGCAAAACCTCTCCGTCTGAACCTTCACCATCACTTTCACGACCCCAGGCCGCAGTGTACCCGAAAGGTGCCCCCATGGATCCCTCCATCATCATGGATGGAATCGATGCAGAGTCGATATCAAGAAGCCCGTCGCCCTGGCGAATGACGCGCATGCCCCCTATGACCTGCTTTGCAGCAGCTATAAGAGCAGATTTTTCCACAGGCCGGATGAATTGTCTCATCTTGCGTGTGGTCATGACGGCGGGGCTTAACCCCTTTACGTGGTCAACCTCCACTTCAGCGGGAGAAATTTCACGCCTCCAGAGAAAAGCCAATGGCGTGGGCTTGTGATTCTGAAGGAGGCGGCGCAGTTGTGCCAGCTTGCAGGAGCATCGACCTTCGCTCCAATCCGCCCCCGCTGTTGACCGGCTCAGGCGCAAGTTGTACACGGCCACAACTGCCGAAGCCCAAGCCTTGTTCACGGTGAGGAGGCCAGCAACTGTGTAGAGGTCGCAGAAATCTATCACCAAAACTTTGTTGAGTTGACAGATCTGCTTATCTGCAGGTCCCTGCATGGCTGCTCTCAGAGTGTAATCTTGAGCAGCAAAATAGCAGCGACAAGTGCTGGCAGTCGCCCCATTGACCCTTTAAACCCCCTGAGCCAAAAAACACCCTAAACCCCAAATCCTACACCCTAAACTCTAAAACGCTAAACCCCTAAGCCTGAAACATCAACCGCCTGCCTGCTGGAACCACAGCAATACGTGGAGGCAGAGAGGAAGTTGATGACCTCGTTGCTCCAAAACTGCTCGCGCTGAACGGGTAGGCTTAAAGGGAACTCCAGAAAGTTGGAATATGGATTAATGGTAGGATCCCCTATAATTTACCTTAAAGGGGTTACGATAATGATATTCCAACTTTCTGGCTTCTACTGTATTATGTGAATAGAGTTCGCCACAACCTCACCACACAGCAAGTTCCATGTCCGTGAACGTGACGGCAGCGTTCAGTTGCATGCCAGGAGCTTGATGTCACGGACCAGGGCATTAGGAGGCAATTATGCACAGTAACTGCGATCACTAAGGTACCATGGGGTTCTATCTGGAATGAAGGTCTTGTCTGCCTTGAACATGCCTAGCCGCATGGCTCTTGATGTGCTTCCCGAGTTGCTACCAGCTCAATGAATCACGCGGCAAACTTCAAGCGGCCTTGGCCGACAGTAGGACTTCAACATTGCACCTGGAAATCACGACCCTAAACCCTAAACCCTAAACCCTAAACCCTAAACCCTAAACCCTAAACCCTAAACCCTAAACCCTAAACCCTAAACCCTAAGACCCTAAACCCTAAACCCTGTCGGATTGCGGGTCAGTCGAGAATCGGAACTTGAAAGCTGCAGGCTACTCAGGAAGGGTGTCAGGGCACTGACTCTAGGACTGCACGCGTGGGATCCCCTGTCCACTGGGAAAAGCGCGATCACTGACTAGCCTGAGCCAGCTATGAAACAGACAATGCCCCCCATCTTGAATGACGCAGGTCTTTAAGGGATTGTGGTGGCTGACGATGGTTCCTGTCAGCAAGAAATCGGTTCCTGTCAGCAAGAATTCTTCCACCGCACACTACAACCCACAAGAAGTCGGAAACTTGTCACAGAGGCAAAACCCAGGATCCACACATATTGCTCCACGCCGTTGCTCATACTCCACTCAGATGGCCTGTGCCCAAAGGCAATGCAGTCAGCAAGCAACCAAGGCAAATTACTTCCATGGCTTGCACCGCTGACAATGCACAGCCCATGTAACATGTCGCCTGGGAAGTCTGGCATGCGCCCTGAACGGGATTGCGCATTCTTTCACTGCCACATCACAAGTAGAACCGGCACAAGAAGTCCAAGAAGTATCATTCGGGCTGGCCGCTCTCCTCATGTCCTTCAACCTGAGGCTTCGAACAGGCATTCAACACGACTTTCTTTGGATAAAGCCAAAAACTACCAAAACTAACTGCGGAATTCTGATGCAGGGGTGCAGCTGCCCAGCGAGTCCAGGATACGCTGGATGAGATACTCCCTCACAGCACTCAGAAGGCATGCCGAAGGAACCCCTTAATAATTAGAATAGGGTTTTGGGGAGTACATTATATGATATGTATATATATATATATATAATCACCATCCCACAAAACCCCCCGGCGAGGGAGAACGCACGTGCCTCAGAACTTCACGGGAGGAAGGCTGGTCCTGGCACATGCGCTTTAAGAATCAGAACAAGGTTCTAGGGTCATCATAATGCTGTATGGAATCATATAATCTTAAACCCTCAACCCTAAGTCATAATGCTATATTGGATCATATATAATCTTAAACCCTAAACCCTAAAAGTTTTAAGTGTGACTTAATCTTCCTGGTTGCTATCCCCCTCCCCCCCCCCCCCAGGATCGAGGCTCCTCAGATCTGTGGGTCAGTCGATCTCAGGCTCAAAGCTCCGGATGCTCATTTCGGGGCGGTCCGAACCCTGAACCCTAAACCCCCAAAAACCCTATAAACTTTACCCTGTAAGCCCCATAAGCCCCATAAACCCCTAAAAATCCCAAAACCCCTATAAAACCTTAAACCTTATAAGCCCTAAACCCTAAATCCAATAGTGTAGAAGATCCCCGTGCTTCAGTCGGTCTCAGAGCTTCGGACTCGGAGGTTCTCAAATTCGGGGCTCTGCTCCTTGGCTTCTCCCTGATGCTGGTGCGACGCCCGAACTTCCATTGGAGAAGATCCCCGAAAGAAAACAAGAACCCGCCGAACCCAAATAGTGAACCCCATCAAGCCATCACCCTAAACCCCTAAACCACAACCCTTATGCTTCCTAAAACCCTACTGGCCCTACTGTGCCGGTGCAAGAGCCGAGAAAGCAAAGCCAAAAGAAGCCGAAGCCCTGGGTCTAAAGCCCTGGAGCCCCAACACCCTGCACCCCCTCTACCTGAAGGACCAAATGACCCTCAAAAGTAGGGGCCCGAATACCCATATACTATGAATCCCTATATGGTATATGAACCTTAAACCCTTTTAGGGTCCATTTCTTCCTTAAGGTAAGACCATGAGCCCTCCACCTTGGCATGCCTGAACCCAAAAACCTAAACTACCCTTAAACCCTAAACCCTAAACTCAAAACCCGAAACCCTAAACTACCCTGAAACCGAAACCCTAAACCCTAGCCCTAATCCCTAAACTACCCTGAAACCCTAAACCCTAGCCCTAAACCCTAAACTACCCCTGAACCCTCAACCCTAAACTAAAAAGGCGGCCCCGGGGTCCTCCAAAGCCAGCAGCAAGCCATTGCTTCGCGCGAAATGCTCCGGGGCCACGGATCCCGGCTCTGCGGGGGACTCTCGGGGCTTCCTTTTAAGGGATCAAAAAAGGGAGTCTTAGGGATTTAAGGGATCAAAAAAAGTGGAGTCTTAGGGATTCTTAGGGTTTAGGGGTCAAGGTTGGCGTTCAGCTGGTTTGGTGGCTTTTGGGATGGATTCTGTATGCCGCCGGCCCTCCCTGCAGTAGCTCGGAGCCTTGAGACCAGCGATCGCCAGCTCACCGAAATCCTCAATCGCAGCTTGCCGGCCCGACCCTGAAGCCCAAAAACCTCACAACCCAAATCTTGAAAGAGTATCGCAGGCAAAGCTGGTGTTTCAGTCACTTAATGCACAGCACAAAGCTCCTGTGAAGCACAACGAAGCCAATGGACTGGGGCGGCAAAAAAGCAACAAACCGAACTGAGGCAGGCGTTGCAGCTTGAGCGATCAGAGGTGGAGCCAAGGGAGACCGCAGGTTGGCATGCTGATACATGTGGGTAAATGAACTTTTCGACTTGGCCTCTTTATCATCTGATGACTGTCTGGTTCTTCGTAAGGAATGGTGGGATGGGTTAGAGGGACTACTATAAGGGACCCGTAAGGGACTATCATGGGGGTCCATTCCCCCATGCCCTACAAATCACTCGACAGATGATGGTGTCAGTTCTCTGCAAGAACACCCTCGTTCATGTTGCTGCTCGCACTAGTGGCGTCACCTCTCTCAGAGACGGAAGCCTTTCAGTTGATCAAGCTGCGGGAAAACGAACCGAGTGCAACTGCTCTCGTATCGAACCGTGAAATACAATCCCGTTATGTACATGATAAACTTATATGACATCGCGTGAGTCTTCCACTCGCAAGGAATCACGGTTGGACAAGAGGCATGTTTTGGCGTTGCGGACAGAGCAAAATTGTCTCCCAATCTGGTCTTCATCATAGGTTCTGAAAGATGAGTTCCATCTTGAAATCAGCTCTGGATGCGGCATCGCAGGCACGCCGGTAGGATGCACTCTTTTTCTGGCGTCGAGCTTCGAGCTGTGCGACAAGACGGGGTGTGAAAACCGTGTCCCTGAAGGCATGTGGATTAGAGCCCACCACCGTGCAGCTTCGAAGAGCATTTATTGTTGAGCAGTCGCCCTTCAAGGCAGGCACGAGCAAGCAAGTGACAGCGTTGATGCTGCCGCAGCCCAGACTGGCTGCTTCTTTCCGATTCCAAACCCGAGAGCTCCCGGCTGTTGCAGGCGACTTCGAAAGGAGCTTCTTTGCATGCGTTGCACCTGAAGCCCGCCCTAAACTCAACCCGAAATCCGAAACCCTCCGTACTACTCCCCCTCTACCTCTGCGCATCCTTCCCATCTCGCCGCTACAGCCGGGATATGAGCCCGAGCGGGCCTCTCAAGGCGGGTTCCCGGCGAAAAGCCCACCAGGGCCTGGCGCGCGAAGGCACTCCGCTGCTCCGCCTCGCTCCTCGGACCTGGCTGGGGCCTCCCCCGAAGCCTCGCTCTTCTCCGACCACCCGCGGGTGCTCCCAAAACGGAAGAAAGCCCCCGAAAAACCTCAAGGATGGACTTCCGAGGCCTCAAACCCGGCTCCTCCTCCCATCCCCCAAAGTAGCGAGCGCGCGAGGAGGCCTCGGCCTCCTTTACATGGTGAAGATCTCCTTCTCCGGGATGGGCAGCGCCTTCAGTTGTCGCCTGAGCTCCTCCTTCACTTGTCGGCCTGGGTCGGCTCGGAGCTCCGAAACGGAGGGTAGCTCGGGTTTGCAAACAAAACGCTCCCAACAAGGGATTCGGTTTCGGAAGTGTTGGGGGTTCTATAAGAGCTTGAACCGCGTTTCTTGCTGCAATTCTGGGGCCCCGAGCCCAGCGAGTTTTCGTCCAGCCACAGCCCCAGCGTCTGGAGCTGGGGCAGCTCGGCGACGGCCGCTGCCAGGGCTTGGGCCCCGTCATCGCCTCGGGAGCCGGGCTGGCATCATTCGGCTCCCAGCGTCTCGTCTCGCAGGAGTGCTACAAAAACGGCTTCTTCAGAGCCTCTTTTTCGGTAAGTGAAGGGCTCCGCCATTAGGTGGTTGCCACCTGCAGACTGACTGACGGTTGGCCCTGGGGCTCCCCTCACTTCGCGGGCTCGGCTCGGCGCGGGGCTCCGAAACGGAGGGCGTTTTGAGGAGGTGTTCGAACCGCAGTTTGCGGCAACTTTTTGGGGCCCCGGGCTCAGCGAGTTGTCGCTCAGCTTCAGCTCCAGCTTCTGGAGCTGGGGCAGCTTGGCGATGGCAGCTGCCAAGGCTTGGGCCCCGTCATCGCCTCGGAGGCATGCTGGAATCTGCCATGCGCATGAAGTTGGATGCAGAACTCAAGGTTTCTTCATGGGCAAACCTTGTAATCAGAGATCCGCTCCGAGCCTCCCCTCGGAGCTCCGAGACCCGGGCCTTTTGGGCCTTTTCTCCCTGGGGCCCCGGCCGATCTCGTTCTTCATCAGGCTCAGCCGCAGCTCTTGGAGCGGGAGCTCGGCCAAGCCGGCGGCCAGGGCGCGGGCGCCCTCGTCACCTCGGGCGAAACCGCTCTGCACCGAGCTTTTCGCAGCGTGCCCGCATCTTTTGCCCATTCCACAGGCTCCATTACGCCACGACTCCAAGCAAATTCTGCCAAAAAAAGGGCTGAAGAGAAGCTGAGATCCAGAAGGCACCAGATGTGGTCTCGAACCAGGAGGCAGGAAACGCGTTGTCTACGAATTCATGCCGGAGTTTTGCAAGATGGACGGACACCTTGCGCTTGCCTCCCAACTCAGCTGCCGCTCTATCCTTCATTGTGGCTTTGGGGTTGCGGGCATGAACTTTAGATTGGGACTTCCCACGGCGCGCCATCTACAAGCAGCAACGGCGCATCTCCCCGAGTTGAAGGCTTGCTGAACGCTCTGTCGCAAGTGGTGTGGCAAGAGGCAGCTTCGCAGCATACAGTAAGGGCTTGGCTGCGCATGGAAACCAATAACTCCGTGTCTGCATCTCTCACTCAGGCACTCTCCGTGGAAGAAGTTGAAATGTCTGATCGGTACTGCAAACGGAAACCCGTGCAGCTTCGCCCGACCCTCCAGGGAAGAAGATTTCAATGAGCTTGGGCTTCAGACGAAACGGTGCGACTCAGTCAGGAAAGGTCATGGACTCGCCATGGACGTGCACGTCTCCACAAGGCTGCGGTCACAACCTGGAGCCCCGGAGACCCAAAGGCCGCAAACACCTGGGCCCCCGAGCCCAGCGAGTTGTCGCTCAGCTTCAGCTCCAGCTTCTGGAGCTGGGGCAGCTTGGCGATGGCAGCTGCCAGGGCTTGGGCCCCTTCGGCGCCTCGGAGGCATGCTGGAATCTGCCATGCGCATGAAGTTGGACTGTGGCGCGTACACGCGCGTGTAGTTTCCGCCACCTCTGGGACTTTTTCGGGGTGGGGTGGGGTGGGGGGGGGGGGATGATTCCGTGCTTTTGGACTTCTGCAAGCCCAAAACGCCCCAGCTCGACTGTCTCCATCCAAACCCGAAGCATTGACGCCCAAGACTCTGCACCTCGAGTCGTTCTCCGTCCCGCGCATTCGGAGTCAAAGCCGGCATGGTGACGCAATGGCTTGCGCTGGCCTGATCTGCACGTTATCCTGCTTGGCACATGGATGTTCTGCAGGAATTGCTGGAGTCTGATGTGGACGTTATCCTGCTGGGGTGGAGTTTGATCTGGACGTGATCATGCTTGGCACATGGATGCGCTGCCGGAATGGATGGAGTCTGATCTGGACGTTATCCTGCTGGGATGGAGTCTGATCTGGACGTTATCATGCTTGGCACATGGATGTTCTGCAGGAATGGCTGGAGTCTGATCTGGACCTTATCCTGCTGGGCTGTCTGGTCTGGACGCTATGGCGAAGCATGCCCGACGGGGCGCCGAGCATGCAGACGACGAAAAGGCCACTGTCCGTAACAACTACTTGCGATCAAGTACTCAAACAGCCTGCCCCCAAATGTAGGAAAAAGTTGCCCGATCTGCTGAAAACCCATCCCTGCCGATGTATTCTGCACGTCCATCACCCAGTTCAATGCGAGCAAGTAGTCAAATTGCCTCCCCCCCTAAAATAGGCATGCGTTGCCCGAGATGCTGAGAAACCACCTTTGCCGATGTTTTCTGCACGTCCATGACCCTTTTCAATGCGAGCAAGTAGTCAAATAGCCTCCCCCCTAGCCTTGCCCGACATGCTCAAAACCCACCCCTGCCGATGTTTTCTGCACGTCCGTCGTTGAGAACATGCCTTTTGTACCACGCGCGGGAATGCGCCACGAACCATGAAGTTGGATGCAGAACTCAAGGTTTCTTCATGGGCAAACCTTGTAATCAGAGATCCGCTCCGACCCTCATGGGCCATATCTCCCTGGGGCCCCGGGCCGATCTCGTTATGCTGCAGGTCCAGCTGCAGCTCTCGGAGCGGGAGCTCGGCCAAGCTCGCGCCCAGGGCGCGGGCGCCCTCGTCACCTCGGGCGAAACCGCTCTGCACGGAGCTTTTCGCAGAGCGCCCATACGCTGCCCGTTCCAGAGGCTCCAGTACGCCGCGACTCCAAGCACAGTCTGCGGGAAAAAACTTCATGGAAGCAGAGATCCAGAAGGCATCAGAAGAGCTCTCGAACCAAGCCGTTTCTGTTGGATCGCAGCTGTGCTGCAGGCAGGAAACGTGTGGTCTACGACTACGATTTCATGCCGGAGTTTTGCAGGGTCGACACCTTGCGCTTTCCTCCCAACTCAGCCGCCGCTCTATCCTTCATTGTGGCTTTCAGGTTGTGGGCAGGAACTTCGTTTTGGGACTTCCCAGGGTGCACCATCTACAAGCAGCAACGGCCTGACTGGGGGCGGGATCAGCATCTTCCCGAGTTGCAAGCTTGCTGAACGCTCTGTCGCAAGTGGTGTGGCAAGAGGCAGCTTCGCAGCATACAGTAAGGGCTTGGCTGCGCATGGAAACCAATAACTCCGTGTCTGCATCTCTCACTCAGGCACTCTCCGTGGAAGAAGTTGAAATGTCTGATCGGTACTGCAAACGGAAACCCGTGCAGCTTCGCCCGACCCTCCAGGGAAGAAGATTTCAATGTCGTCGACTCGTCACACACGTCTCTTCACAAGGCCGATTTCAACCGGGAGCTCCCCTCACTTCGCGGGCTCGGCTTGGCTCGGGGCTCCGAAACGGAGGGCGTTTTGAAGAGGTGTTCGAACCGCAGTTTGCTGCAATTTTTTGGGGCCCCGGGCTCAGAGAGTTCCATGCCAGAATCAGCTCCAGCTTCTGGAGCTGGGGCAGCTTGGCGATGGCAGCTGCCAAGGCTTGGGCCCCTTCGGCGCCTCGGAATCTGCCATGCGCATGAAGTTGGATGCAGAACTCAAGGTTTCTTCATGGGCAAACCTTGTAATCAGAGATCCGCTCCGAGCCTCCCCAAGGAGCTCCGAGCCCCGGTCGTGGGTCTTTCCTTCCTGGGGCTGTTTCATCTTGGCCCTCGCCTGGATTGGATCGATGTTGCTTTTTGGTGGCGACGTCATGTCTGCCGACCGTTGCTGCGCAAAGGCTTGCTGAGGTGGCTCGTCGGTCTTCTGCATTGTCGGACAGACTTGTCACTGCTGACTTAGGTCTCAGGTAGCGCAATTACTCTGCATATATGCATCACACCCTCAGCCATCGACGACTGGGCGAGACATGGAAGGTACAAGGCTGCTTGCACAACGCGGACCTGCGGATGTAGCACCGTGCTGTCTCACCATCGACATCGTATGAAGGTTTGTATAGACTCGTATAGACGCCATCACAGCGTTTCTCAACGTTCAGGTCGTTGGATGCCACCTTTGGGAAAGAGCACTGCGAATCCCGCTGGGATCCCCGGCCGATGCCGCTCCGTTCCAGATTCAGCTTTAGCTGTCGGAGCCGTTTGGGCAGCGCCGAGGCCAGGCTGCTGCCGCCTTCGGGGCCTCGCACTGGAGCAGAAGCCCCCAGAAATCCGTCAACGAGCATTCGGAAATCAAACACTTGCTGGACCCTCGAGAGCTGAGCGAGCTAATTGCCATATGCTGTCACACCCTGTTGAAACCTTCCACGTGCTGGCGGTTCGTGCTGGCTGGTTGGGCTTTACTGAGCCTCCTCAAGCTCACCGCGCATATTATGACATGCCTGGCCCACAGACGCCACCGACGGACCGATGCGTTTGGAACGCCCCGATCTGAACCCGAGCAGCCCCGGGTCCCTCACCGAGGCTGTTCCATTCCAAGTTGAGAACCAGCTTCTCGCTGCAAAGCAGAGCTCCTACTCGCGCGGCAACCACGGCACGGTCCGGTCAGCTCGCCCTCTCGTCTATGCACAAGGAGTCCTTGGAAAGCCTCTGCGTCCGCGGCGCCCAGGTTTGAAAATTTTAGGTCGATCTCCGCCTCCGCCGCATAAGCCGTCTGCATCATCAGACAGAAGCGGAGGGCACCTCTGGGAGACCGGAGCTGAAGCCATGGTCTTCTTGTATGGCGGTATGTGTGCTTGCTTTCCTTTTATGAAAACTGAATACACGCAAATGATATTGCAAAAATGGGACGATGCGCAGGCCTCGCAGCATCGGCTGCTGCTGCGCTTCGGCGAAGGCTTCACTCCAGGCCGGCGCTTGGGCACCCGCCAACGCCAACCGGGCCTGTCAGCCAAGACTCAGCGTAATTGTACTCGCACAATCACGGGGTCTACCAAGAATGGCAACAGCAATTGCGCTCACGGGCACCATCTCCGTGCGGCACCTCTGCGGCCAGATACTCCTGCATTCGCAGGTGGTACAGCTGCACCTGGCAATGGGTGCGGACCACTGCGAGCTTTCGAGCCGATGAGTCTGCAAGCGCGGCTTGCGTCACCGCTTGGCCAGACGGCTCGAAGAATCTCAAGTGCCCGAGCTGCGCTTCCTGGAAGACTACCTGGATGCAGAAACAGATACCCCTTATGTCAGCTGTTCATGCCTGATGGGCTGGAGTGGTGAGCTTAGCATGCCCCAGATCCCCAGATGGCCAAACGAGCGACTCACATGCATCTTTGTGCTGATGTTGAAGTGTCGACTGTATCAACCTCTATGGACATCAAGAGGGAACTTCGCTTGCTCTTCTCGCTCCTTCTACTTGGGACTGGATGCAGGCCCTCCAAGACCTCAGACGCAGTCACCCATCGGTGCGTGTACAGCTCCTGCCTTTTTGGTGAAGTCCGACTCCAACAGCAGCCGCTGGCCTGCCTGCAGTGAGAGCGCAAGCGCATTCCAGAAGTTCTCTGCGGTGCCCGGCAGAGTTGCCTGGAGCTTGGCCAGGCACAGCGGGCCCAGCTCTGCTCGCAGCTCCTTGCAGCCGGTCCGCTCCTCTGCCTGGCTCTGCCGATACACTGGCAGACTTATCAGACTTGTTGCGTTTGGCTGCGACAAATTCACACGATTCTATACCGTTTCTGGCTCTCGCCTGCTTCAGCAGCGTTTCCACAGCGTGCTCCATCAGCACCAGCTCCGCCGTGGCGCCGTCGAGCTCTTCCTCCAGCAGTCAGCGTGGTGATGTGCATACTGACGTACTCTGTGTCTACAATCTCGAGAGAGGGCGG